TGTGTGTGTGTGTGTGTGTGTGTGTGTGTGTGTGTGTGTGTGTGTGTAAAGTTACAGAAAGATGGCTGTGGGTGTGTGTGCGGATCTATGAGTGTTTGACTAAAGCATGTGTATATGCGGAAGAGACTTTCAGTGTGTCAGCATATGATTGCGCATGCATTTTGGTTTAGAAAAGATAATGCCGTTGCTCAGCAAATGAAGCTGTCGAGCGCGAGACTTAATGGCAAAGAGATGCCTCCGACAGTCGCTCTCTCTATCGGTCACACCCTTTATCCTTCGTGCTCACCAGACAGACCAATGGCTGTGTGTGATGATAGTATTTTAATCATGTCAGTGGTCAGGACCCAGTGTGAGTCCACTTTATATGCATATGGGGTCAGTGAAGATTTCTAAGGCTGTTATCTGTTTTGAATCTTTTTAATTAGCTTTCACATGTATCAAAGTCATTGTATAATCCATTCAAAGCTCCCTACTAATACGCTGTCGTCAAATGATTGCCCGTCTAACTGCTGGGTTATCGACAGTCGCGTGACTTTAAAAACAGGGGCACAGTCCAGCAATTAAGAGGATTACATTGCAGATGGAACCGGGCAGGGGGGGTTTGGGAGACTCTGGGATCAGCTGATGACCGTTAAGAAAGGACTCAATCCTCCTAATTACTTTCAGTGCTGTTACATTTATTTATTTTTTTTTCATTGCACACTCAACATGAATTAATCAACATGATGAGTCATTTCACAATTTGGTACCTTGTTTAATTAATGATTTGCTTCAATTCTTAATCCGCAGTAATTACCTGCTATTATAGATTATTTTTTTTGTTCTTTATTATTATCTCATCTTTTTTTTCAAGAAGCTCATAGCCCAGCTAGTTTTCTTCTGTGTTTTTAGCCCAGATATGACCTCACTACACTTGATGTGCTTTTCCGGTGCATGTGGGGTTTGTCTATTGCAGGCTGATTGAAACATCCCCTCTGTGTTTATCGCTCTGTGTAGGAAACGGACCCGCTGAGTAGAGTTGATGAGCATGGGGATCGGGGCCTCACCTTTTTAAAATGAAGGCTTTGCACTTTTGTTTTGACATAATGTCTGTTGTGTTGTTTGCCATAGAGGAATTGTAACAATTAAGATGAATTAGAATTAGATCTCTAGTACACCTAGTAGCCCTAAGAGAATGCTGAGAGTTAAAAAAGTGTGTGTTTGTGTGTTCAGGGCATGAGGAGTGTGTTGAGTTATGAAAGCGTCTGGTTATTAGTCTGACAGCCTACAGCCATCAAGCTGATTAACTTTGGGATTAATCACTGTTGGATCTCAAATCCCAGCATCACTGTTGCTTGAACAACTCAAGCTACTACAAACACACAGCGGCCTACATGTTTCACAGTCATACATGCATCCAGCCATCGGCAGACAGCTGTTTTTTGTGTGTTTTGTGCTTCAAAACAAATGAACATAAGCATGGTCGCATGGTAAACATACATGTACACCGGCATGCAAGGAAGCTCACACTGATGTGCCTTGAGGTCTTGCTAATTGGTCTTTGTTGCAGCGAGATAATAAGCTCTCTGTACTGCTTTATCATTATCTCCAGACGTGTATATAGCACATACACCTCGCATCTACAAAACAAGTCCTCGTATAAGTAGGTCATCTGTTAGTGCCTTCCAAAGTAACCTTCATGGCCATAAGAAAAATAATCAAGTTCACACAACTTATTTTTTGGGTTTCTTTTAAAATATATTACGACGGCTTCAAAAGTTAATTCTGACTGTTGGGAGAAGACATAATGCTGTTGCTTTCAGTGACGAGTCCCTTGCCTATGCCTTACAGTTTGTATCAATAGTCATATTCTTCAGAGAGCAGGACGTGTCAAAGTGCTCTGCTTCAGGCTTGTTATGGGTCGTTAATTATGTCCCCCCCAAAAATAATCCTTCCACTCCTTCACCGGCCTCGCTCTTCTGATTGGGAGACGGGAGGGATGAGAGGGAGTAATCAGAGCCGCATCTCCTCAAGTACCGAAAAGATGAGAAAAGGGAGAAGAGTGTTCATCGTGCTGTGATTTCAGGAGATGATGAAAGATGTGAGGGAGCAGGAGATTACAATGGAAACATTCTGTTGTAATTAAGTGGTCATATGGTAGAATGGTCCGGCTTAATTTGATGGAAACAAAGACAGGAAGTATGAGATAGTGGAAGAGATTGTTTTTTTTAAATCTAAATGAAGTGGTTAGATTGACGGAAATTGCCTCAGTTACACAGAAAAGTAAGTATTGCAGAGCGAAAATGAGACGAGGTCACAGAGAAGGTTCCCAAGGCAGCATGGGAAGGAGAGGTGGGGGAAAAAAGCAGGCAAAGAGGAAGCAGAGAGAGGGACACACAAGCCAGCTAATGGACAAACACACACACACACACACACAGGCAAAGGTCACACAGCCATCCCAGCCACCCGGCACTCAGACAAACCGCCGGTAAAATGCTCTATTTCCCATTCAAATTAAAGTGTCAGTTAATATTAATGTGGAAGTGAAGACTGTCAGACACACAGCACGCAGACACACAAACACAAATACAAGAATTTAGACTCTCGCCTGGTCAATTACCATCAGCCGATGGAGTCATGTGCACAGGTCACAAGGGTGTTTGTGTGTGTGTACGTGTGTGTGTACGTGCGTGTGTGTGTGTGTGTGTGTGTGTGTGTGTGAAGCTCTGATCAGGCCCAGTGCCACGTCTCGTCCCATCTGTCACATGAAGGTTACTTCTGAATAGACATGTAATTGTTACGTCCTGCATTATAATGCGGGGAAGTGTGCATGTGCCTGCGTGTACTTTCTTATTTGCAGATGTTTGTGCATATTGTGTGTGTGTGTGTACACATTTTAGTGCCTGTGAATGTGTTTGTTTGGAAAGTTTTTACCTGGATCACATTTTTTTTTTTTGTTCAGCTCAGGTAAAGTTGTGCATGATTGATTTCACGCATGCCTGTGGTAGGTGTGTGTGTGTGTGTGTGTGTGTGTGTGTGTGTGTGTGTGTGTCTGTCTGTCTGTCTGTCTGTCTGTCTGTCTGTCTGTCTGTCTGT